GGCTTCCCCCCCCCCTCGTGCGGTGTGCGGCGATCGGCCCCCCTCGGCGGTGGTTGGGTCGGCGTCGTGTGGGATGGATCGGTAAACTACTACTACGAAGAACTAAGGGGGTAGGAAGACAGGACAGCAGGGCCCCACGGGGCAGTTGGAGAGAGGGATCGCGCACCGCACCGGCGCGCACGACGACATCGTCAAGCACAGGCAGCCCCCACCGACCGTCACCTCACGGCTTGTCGGGGACTCACGAACCACAAGACACACTATAATATACCACCACCACCACCACCACAACAACAATAACAATAAAAAGAAAAAGACATCAGTGGATGGGGCTTGAACGGGACTTGGTCCGACCCCGGGGGGTTCCCCCTCAAGCACCAAACGTCACGTCCGCCCCCCCCCAATCGACCGCAAGGCGGTAGACGCTCAACATCGAATGGAAAATGGACGACATGCGGCGATCGCTTTGCCAGGTCGTGGCGAATCACGCACGAACCCCTGGTGGGGTTTGGGGTGAAGCGTTGGCCTCCCCCATTCCCGCCCTGTCGTGGGGTAAAGCCGTCGGTCGAGAGGGCAGGACTCACCTGGGGATCGTCATCCCGCGCGGTCCTGAATGGACTTCATTATTTTACCCCGCTTTTGTCGCAGTTCAGGGAAAACGATTTCATTTGACACCCTGATAAGCGCAAGGGCTTTGTGTGAACCGATTTCTTAGCGTGGGCCCAACTCCGAGAGAGAGAGAGTGTGTGGATATTTTAGTGCGGCAGGTTAAGGGAATATTTGAAAAGAAGAAAAAATAACCTCAAAAATGGGATACACCGCCACATCGGAACGAGGTGGGGATGAGTGCACAGAAAAGATAAAACACCACCATGGATGTTTTTGTGTGTTCATTTCACACCGCTCGGAAGATGGCCGGATTGAATTATTTCACCACCCTAACAAACACCACACAAACCGCAAATAAAGCTGAACCTCACCGGGAAAAAAAAAAAAAAGACATCAGTCGAAACGCCAAATGAAGAAGTCAACCCCGCGGCCAACGACGACATCGCCTCCAGTTTCACTACGATTTAACAATGCGGGAATCACGCCGCGAGAGGAGGAGGATGTCGTTGGGCGAGTTCATCCCGCCCCCCTCGCGTTGGGATTCCCCCCAAACGAAAGCTTCAACACCGCCTTTGTCCTACCGAACACCAAACCACCGCCAACCTACGCGCGGTTAGGTTGACCCTCACCAACCTGTGAAAGTGGAGGAGGTTGAGGCCGCGCGCACTTTTTTTTCTTTTTTCAACATTCGCCACTTTTTTGTGGAGTCTCGGGCGAATTGCGGATTTTAACGCCCAACACACCCCGTTAGTGCCGCGCTTCGCTGGTTGAATCCCCCAATTGGCCCAGAACTATAAAACTACAATAAACTACTTAAGCGATGTGGTGGAATGAGTGGGGCCGCGTTGGGGGCTCAATCGTCGCGAATTAATGTCGAAAGGCCTTCGTTGGGGTGTAAAGCCGTACAAGAGGGGG